GCGATTGTAATTTTCTGATATCACCTGAGGTCCTTAGATTAGTTTACTTCAAATCATGGCCACCTAGATGTAATTTCAAAAGTGACGGAAATATTGAGTAGGCATAAAACTATCGAAAATGTCACATTCCGATCTAGAATTGTCCTAGAAATCCAAAAATGTTTCAATATACATGGTGTTTCCTTTAAAAATTCAGAACCGGAGCCATTTCCGGTGAAACCGGAAGTAACCGGAAAGTGAAGAATATGTGAAAACTCTCCTCTTCACATACCATTTACCATATAAGTTATGACTTGTCTAATAGATTCGTTGACACCCGGTATTTTTTCTCCTATCAACAATATATCGGAGATTCAAAACTCAATGTAAATAAGTACATATTATGATCATTAAAATGAGACTTTCTATCCATGAAAATATGTGCCTGAAAGTTGGAGGGGAGGGGGTGCATTTCAGGACACATATATATATGAAGACAAGTCCTGATTTCGATCCCAACAGTACGTTCTCAAAATATGTACATCGAATTTTGAACCGCCTGTATTATGCCCTGTCCATGAAGTAACCCCTCCCCCCTAGCGAAATAAAGATAGAACAGAGAGCATCGAGTAGACTAGTTGTCGATAGCATTTGTCAGGAATACTGAACATCTGAATTCGACTAATATATTGATCTGTCAACTCCAAACTTCATCATTTCCGGTTAGGAGCGATATTACGTTAGGTTAGTAGGAACTTCGGAAGAAGTTATGTCGACACAGAATATAATATACCCAGGGGAAATACTTGCAGGTAGTTGAATGTCTGGACTACTTCATGAACTCTCATACAATGATGCACAAAAGCCAAATTCAGCAAGCCTGATATTGATGTTCTGATGTACATCTGCACACTATTTATCTATGCTTTCCATCAGAAATTAGAGATTCAGATTTTATTCTGCGTGAAAATTATTTCTACTGAACTGTCTGGAAAGTACGTATTTCCCGAACTAGGCCGAAAATAACTAAACCGTTGTCATTGTTACCATCTTAATAATCAAATAATAGCATGCAAATCGTATATGAAACTAATCATAAGAATACCAACTAGTTATTAACGTTACATGGCCGATATGAGCAAATAACGGATGATATTGAATATTGTAATCCGAGGCGCAGCCGAAGATTATAACAACCGAATCCATTATTTGCGCATCGACCGAGTGTCGTTCAAGACTTTTCGTAATCCCGCTGAAATATTACATTTTGATTCCGAGGAAAGAACACAACACGTACCTCGTAATTCTACAATCAAATATATAGATTTCAAAAATTTCAGAACTGATCAATGCGCATAATCCTTTCGTACAATAGACGTACTCCTATTACAACAATGTTGAACAGACTAGAATGGTTGTCAGTAAAAGATTTTTTATTGTACCAGGCACTCATTTTTATATACAAAATAAGCAATGGCATACTGTACCAGACTACCTCAGATAAATTTTGAATATCACCACTATGAAACGAGATCTAGAAGAGATTTCCACATTCCCCAATTCCAGAAAAGATTTATGCAAGACTCAATATTTTTCAAAGGCTTGAGAGCATTCAACTAATTGCCAACTGCAATAAAAAGTGCAGACTCTCTCAATTATTTCAAAATCACCCTGAAAAAACATTTGTTGGAAGGAAGTAATCTCTAATGAGCATGATTGATTTTATTTTTATTGTATAGTATGTATGTAGTGATGCTGTTTGACATATTTCTGTGTTTTATGTACAATGTATTAGTTTTTATGACTGAATAAACGGATATTTATATACAGAAAAACCCCAATATCGTGTTGTTATGGAACAATTTTAACGGACGGAGGCTGTTAACATCAACTTTTCAATTGTCATCTGAATACCGTTAAATCAAAATAACAGTATGGGATCACGAAAAAAAGAGCTGGCAAATTTCACATTAAAGTAGTTGAGATTATCCTTTTGGAAATGTTTACATCACCTATATAGTCGCCATATAAGTACAAGGTGATAGCTCGGGATGTGACAAGATATTCCACGTTTTCAATCCAATCTTCGAAGCTAATTCTTGAATCAGATGCGCTCTGCTCTCTTGGATGGTTTCCTGCAGATATTATTTCTTCATTCCACATACGAGGGGTGTGAAAATGTTTTTTTTTTCTATTGGAACACCATATATTCAATTGCAAATATTGAAAGAGTGTCTTGATGAGTTCAAATATATATGATGTTCGTGCATTTCATGTAGTAGATTAGGGTGAAATTTGAAATTGATTGAATTATTTTCTTCATGTTCTAGTTTGATCGAAGTTGAGCAGGAACCAGGAGATTATTAAATGACCTGAATTCCAGTTCAACCAAAGCCAACTTCGCTAGATGCACCGCCTCCAAAATGCGCTTGTCAAACAAAGGGTCACTTTTGATCCTGATAAAACAATCTTTTATTGTGAAACGGGATATCCAGTACAGCCACAGAAACAAAATGTATGAATGTATGTGTGAGTATGAACATAAATGTTTGAGAACCCTTTACTGGTTTCAATTTAATTTTGAAAGATTACGTCTTTACAGCTCATTTTAGTTACCTGAATGAGTTCAATTCGTTGTTGGTCAAAATGTAAATAAAAAAATAATCATCATTTCAGCATCATTTTTGGGTGGCAAGGAGTGTTGAGGTTAGTGGTCACCAGACTATACTTTGGTACCCACATGGGTACTTCTGCCCATGGACCATGGGTACTTGAGAAATTCATATCTAACGTGAAGTTTTCTTTTGATTCTCCGCCTCGATACTCTAGGTAAAACTTATGCGAGAATTGAATCTCCATCTTTTTAAAAAATTGCCCATGATGGGTCATTAATGACCGACGTACACAGCATCATGCCATGCCCATGCCCATGGTGTATGGCAGAAGTAGAATAATGTTTTTTATTTGCATAAAAATATAAAAATTCCACATTAAAAAGATGAATGGCATACAAATTAACAAGGGTAACCGCATAGCTTCAAGCTGTCCGGGGTGTAGATAAAGTGAATAATACTGAAATATATGAATAAAGATAATTAAAAATGAGTATACTCTATAAAATGTAACACAAATAATTGTGTATAAAATATTTGGAAGTGATTATAAATTTCCAATTTTATTTCACGTGAGGGAAAATGGTTGTTCTTGGTACTGAAGAAATAAACTTTTTCAAGTCTTGCTTAAATTTATGGACCTTTGTAATGTCTTTGATTTCAACCGGTTGTTTCTGGGTCATACTGATGATCGGAGGTTTTCAGCATATAGATTAAGAAATATGTTTAAAGATATTGCCACGTAGCATGTAGGAAGAATAATTGTCTTGGATCCATGATGCCAGATTCATGAAATAATAGATCTGAGGGGTAAGTGGAATCTTTATTCAATATAATTTCCATCAATCTTTTCTACATTAAAATAAGTTTTTCCATATAAACTTTGGTGATGCCTCCCCAAGCTAGTATTCCGTAGGTATAGTAGTAGTAGTAGTATTGTGGGGAGGCTGTAGCCAGGCAAGTAGGCCCCCATGGGCCCTTTTTGCCAACCCCTGCTCTCCGCACATATCTACACATTCCTCTTTTAGTTGTCCTATTCCAGAGATTATCCACACACATTCAACAGGAATCAGTGATATACATTCATAACCCATAGGTAACATAACCCCTATAGAATTTCTTTTGTTCCGGTAGATATATCGTTTGGCTTCAAGAGCTCTTAACTTTTATTAAAGGGCGGGTCTTGCACCAAAGGACCGTATTTCTTGTTCAGCATCATTTAATCGATCTAATCTAAACGTACATTTTCACAACATTTCACCTTAGACCAGATTTCAATGTAAATGGTGAGGGGTCCTTTACTGCCTTGGGCAACTGGAATGAAAATACAGGCCCCAATTCGTTACAATTTGCACATTGCGCCGCTTAAACGGGAAGTTTACTCACTCCTTAATGGTGTTCGTGTGGTGCATTTCGTGCAACGCCACATTCGTCAAAAGTATATGAAAACGGCAAATGAACTCGATTCACAGGTAGACACGTATTTAATTTGCGAGATTTAACGACGTCTAGGTACATAGAGCAAATTATACAATTCAACATTGTAACATTCTACGAGCAGAGCAGAGAATTTTTATTTATAAAACGAGTTATAAATTCTAATTTTCGTAGTCTCGGCCGGAGATGATTTCGCACGATTCTCTGTGCGTTCTAATTAACACTGCTGCTCCTAAGGTGGTGTATGAAGTCAGTAACAAAGCCTACACAGAATACCAACGAAGTACATAACATTCTACGAGTGGCAGACAATAAATATTCTTCGTATACAAGCTGTGCCCAAGAATTAACGAAGTTATTGTAGATCAAATTACATCAATATTTTGAGTGGATCGATTATTATGCCGTTGAGTGTATATTTCCCACAACCAGTTGACCAGTATAAAGTTCAACAGATATACACGATGGATGATCATCTGTTTTCAACTGAACCACTGTTCCTACTCATGCAGACTGAAATTTGTCTCGACCACAATTTCTGTGAAGTGTTGCCGTCTCAGCGATTTTGGCACTACTAGCGTTTCCAGGGTAGATCAATTTTTTGTTTGGGGTAATCCAACATGGCGTCATTTTGTATGGCACACTTGGGTTTTTGTTATTTCGTATTTAACGGTTTTTAAATACATGGGAAATGATCCTTGTTAAGTGGAAAAGTGTATTTTATTAGTTTGAAGCATCATCGACCCAAACTAGTTTACTGTTACAAAACGTTTCTTCCTCAGATCTGAATAATTTTTTAAAAAAGTTGACTCTCTAGCTACCTACCTAACAACCATAAATCTAATTGAAAAATAATATAGAGCAACCTCTAGAATCGTTACATTAGCATTCAAAATGTGAAAAAGAATTCGCGATAATCTCGTTGTTCACGAGGCAAATAACTGTTTATAATTTGTCCATCCATGTACTTACTTGTTCTAAAGGCATCAGTTCTTGCTGAAGCGTCTCCAGCTGGGTCATCAGTTCTTTTTCTTTCGTAAGTTGGTGCTCCTGTATGTGCATCGCTTCGTATAATTGGTTAACTAGATTTTTCACGTCGTTTAGTCTGAAACAAAAGGAGAACTAGGTATATGAACCACTTAAATTTACTGTTGGAAATTTCCAGGATCATTCTCCCAATTTTCCATACCATACCTCCAAGAGAACAACAACCTAAGTTTTCTCCTCAGAGTTAGTGAATTTTTTATAATTATTGAAACCACGACATTTCAAGACAAGAAAAAGGTGAACCAATCCAAAATGCAACTGAATTGACTGAACTCAAGATTCGACAACATAAAAGAAACACACAATGATTGAATGTTTTGCTAGATTTACGCAAAACCCTCAAAAACAAGTTTTTCTTCTCGATAGATGCTGAGTTTGTGTATAGGATTCATTATCAGAAAAGCCGCAGCGAGAAATGATAATCGGCATTGATTGTTGATTTGGATCTGTTTGAATCATTTCGACGATACAATCAAACCTAATGTCATCAAGACAATATAATTATGTGTAAAGCAATCATACATAAAATAAATATAATAGCGATTATTTCTTTCTCTCCATATTCCACTATGTTTGGCTCTGTAATCAAATAAAGAAAAACAATATCGTTGTGTGAGACAAAAAAGTTTGCTAGCCGTGATTATTTAAAAACAAGTGATCTAAACAATTAGATCCGGAGAATAACAAATGAAACGTCGGATCAAGCAAGTATGTGAATCTTGAAGGCTTTCATGGTCAAAACAAAAATATTAAACTATAATAATTATGGTGTAATTATATCTCCAGCATGGGTATGAAATGCCAAATCTGCCGAAATCGGGATCAAATCAAGTACCTTTGCTTCCCAACCCCAATAACCAACCGTAATAATGTTGTTTATTCTTGACCTACATCGTGAATCTTTTTGAGTTCCTAGAAGGTGAAGTTCAACTTTAGCTCTAAGGAAATGAAAGTGTTGCCTAACCACATACTTATGTTTGTGTCAGTTATAGAAACGTCCATTCAAGATCTGATTTTGGTATTAAAATGGACGACTTTTGTGTCGATTACAAAAAAAACATATTTTTTCTACAAACTTCAAAAAATGACAAGGTTCGCGCATTGATAACAAATTGCGAAGTGACACTTTTTTTTAGTTTCCTACGTTACCATGATACCTTGCACATAACAATGCGCGAAGTAAAACAGTGCGCGAAGTACCTACTTCGCGCATTGTTATGTAAAACATATGAGATATTTTTAATCCAACTTAATGGTCCTCAATCGAGCAAACATCCACGAAATCATTCATTTCTGAATGTTCAAATATAACTTCGTATTATATCTTGGAGCACACGGAAGGAAATTCCTATTATATTCGTGGAACATCGTGCGTACCTAGGGAGAATAGGGGGAGGCTTTTTAAGCCAGTTCAATACTATTTTTCATATCAAGCTAAGCATATTTTCACCTTAGAACTATATTTTTTGACGTTTGTAGAAAAAATGTTGTTTGCAACTCGAGCGCGAAATACTTTGGTCATCTCGACTATTTTTTTAACTCGGCAACGCCTCGTTAAAAAAATCAGATCTCGATCACCAAAGTAGCATTTCGCGCTCTAGATACAAAAATAACTATTTTCAACCAACGTCAAAAAATGACAAGGTTCGCGCATTGATAACAAATTGCGAAATGATACTTTTTTTCAGTTTCCTACGTTACCATGATACCTTGCACAAAACAATGCGCGAAGTAAAACAGTGCGCGAAGTGCCTACTTCGCGCATTGTTATGAAAAATAAATGAGATATTTATGTTTCAACTTTATGGTCCTCAATCGGGCAAACATACACGAAATCATGCATTTCTGAATGTTCAACAATAACTTTGTTTTATCTCTTGGAGCGTGTACGAAAGGAAATTCCTATTATGTTCGTGGACCATCGTGCGTACCTAGAGAGGATATGGGGAGGCCTTTTAAGCCAGTTCAACACTATTTTTTCATCAAGCTAAGCATATTTTTACTTTAGAACTATATTTTTTGACGTTTGTAGAAAAAATGTTGTTTGCAACTCGAGCGCGAAATACTTTGGTCATCTCGACTATTTTTTTAACTCGGCTACGCCTCGTTAAAAAAATCAGATCTCGATCACCAAAGTAGCATTTCGCGCTCTAGATACAAAAATAACTATTTCCTATACTGCCTTATACCTATACCTACTTCGCGCATTGTTATGTATAATATATGATATATTTATATTTCAACGTTATGGTCTTCAATCGAGCAAACATCCACGAAATCATTTATTTCTGAATGTTCAACAGCAACTTTGTTTCATCTCTTGGAGCGCACGAAAGGAAATTCCTATTATGTTCGTGGAACACCGTGCGTACCTAGGGAGGATAGGGGGAGGCCTTTTAAGCCAGTTCAACACTATTTTTTATATAAAGCTAAGCATATTTTCACTTTAGAACTATATTTTTTGACGTTTGTAGAAAAAATGTTGTTTGCAACTCGAGCGCGAAATACTTTGGTCATCTCGACTATTTTTTTGACTCGGCTATCACCAAACATTTCGCACTCTAGATACAAAAATAACTATTGTGTCTCATGTTTTTGTTCAGCTGAACATTATGACAAACGTCATCTGATCCACTTCCAGAACTGTTCGTAAATTGATGAAGAGACGTTTCGAAGAATTCAATTGCGAAGATTATTGTTGTCAATGTGATTTCCAGGAGAGGTGTGTATACTGAGACCGAAACATGGTTTATAAAATAATTGAGTGAGAACCCACAACATTGCCAGAAAATGATGATGGATACAATTCACGTGATGACTGCACGTATTCTGGCGAATGGTCTCGAACCGCGTCCCTATATTTTATGGAATGTCAAGGGTGTGGATGTGAATATCCAGATACCGGAGGAATCTCTTATCGCTTCTGGCAAGGTGCCAAATGTGCCTATAGGTCGCTCCAAAAAGTTTGGGATGGTTTAGATACGTTGCGACCTACGGAGTTGACCTGAATAATAAAACTCGGAATAATGTCCAGGCCGGGTTTTCGGTCCTTCAGCGAAGGTTTAGAGCAAGACATTTTTTCCGGGTGACTTATCGGGAAATTGAAAAGAAATGGAGGAAGCCTTCATGGAGATTTACAGAGACAAATAAACAAACTATCTATGCTACTACTAAATATTGTCTGTAGGTTAATCGAGGAGGTGGTATATTCATTTTACTTGATTTTTTGGGATTTTATCTCCTCGTTTCCATAAAATAAATAAATGCGTATTATTTCAATATATTTTAGTGGAGCGAATCAGATGATTTGCCCCAAAATGTCACTGCGTTTAACAAATTTTCCTATCAGGGAGCCTGAAAGAAAAATCTAGTAGCTGTCAGTGACAATTTGTTTGAAAACATGTTTGAAGGAAAGAAATAAAGATATATTAAAAAAATATCAAATTTTAACTCATCTTTGAACGTTTCGGGAACGGATCTGCTCCCGTTCTCAACATGAAAATACAAAATATTTCTCTTTTGAAGTTGTGCTCTGCTTATAGTTTGACACTTTTCAGTGTCATACTGATGTTGGCATATCCTTGCTGAAGATGGACAAAATATGGCAGAGTGAAATAACATCAAAATCATAGGAAAGGAAGATAACAACCAAAAAAGAAAAATCAAGAAATCCGCTTGCATTCTTCTGAACGGAGACAATAGCACCGCTTCCTGGTCAGTTGATATAGATAGAACATGGTATTCACTACTGAAAACTGAACATGAAAATGGTAGATTCAAGATCAATTAATGAAAACATCCTGTAACTCATTTGTAGACTAAAATCACTCATTCATATGCCAACATCAGTATGCCACTGAGAAGTGTCAAACTATAAGCAGAGCACAACTTAAAAAAAAAATATTTTGCATTTTCATGTTGAGAACGGCAGCGGATTCGTTCCCGAAACGTCCAAAGATGAGTAAAAATTCGATATTTTTTCGATATATCTATATTTCTTTCCTTCGAACATTTTTTCAAACAAATTGTCACTGACAAGGTACTGGATTTTTCTCTTAGACTCCCTGATAGAGAAATTTGTTAAACGCAGTGATATTTTGGAGCAAACCATCTGCTTTGTCCCACTAAAACTATATTGAAATAATACGCATATTTTTATTTTATCGAAACGAGGAGAGAAAATCACAGAAAATCTAGTAAAATGAACGACTACTACTTCTTATGCTTCTCAACACCTTACTCATGGCTAAAAAGCACAGATACGGCCAGTTTTAGAATACTGTTCTCACATATGGGGTTTAGCACCCAAATTTACGCTGATGCTCTTAGATTCCATCCAGAGAAGAGCCATTCGCCTGATGGTGAATAATAAAACTCGAAATAATGTCCAGGCCGGGGAATTTTCGGTCCTCCAGCGAAGGTTTAGAGTAAGACATTTTCTTCGGATGACCTATTGGGAATTGAAAAGAAATGAAGGAAGCCTTCATGGAGATTTACGGCGACAAATAAACGAACTACTACTAATTCTTATCTAGATGGAAAAAACACACGGGATGCTGGTGGAAAAATAAAGAAAAAAGAGAGAAAATAGTAGAGAAATAAAGGTATATAGAAAAAATATCAATCTACCCTTTTCAATGAAATGAATTTTTCTGTTAGGCTTTCTGATAGAGAACTTCTTTGAACGCAGTGACATTTTGGGGCAAATTATCTGATTTGTCCTAACTACACGTAGGTATATTGGAATAGTATTCATATTTTTATTTTATAGAGACGAGGAGAAAAAATCCCCCCAAAAAAACTGAAATAATGAATGTAGATAGATAGATAGATAGATAGATAGATTTATTTAAAGCTTTCAATTTAAACAGTTGAAAAACTCAAGTCATATAAAATCATCAATAATTTACCTCACATTATAGATAATAAAAACACAAAATGACTCTTAATATAATTAAGATACCTAATTACAATAAGTCTAAAAATATATATATATATATCTCAGTCATTGGTAAAAGAAAATTATATTGAAGCTACAAATAACATTACTTGTCCAGG